AAAATTTCAATGTCGATCAGCCAAAATTTCTGGCAAAACGACCTGCCCCTTAATTTTTAGGATTTGCACACTGACTGGTAATAGTTAAATTTGCTTTAAGCATTTGTGTTGTCCAAAAAATCAATGCATCTTCTAGACCTGAATATTTTCCTTTGCGTAAATGTTTATTATGTGAATTGGGATCTTCTGGATTAATACCAAGATATCCTGACCTTCGTTTCAATATGTCACAAATAGTATTTTCATGAACTTTAAAACGAGTAGGTTTCGATTGTTTTAGAACACATATTTTTCATTTTTTAATTTTAGGGAACAATACGTACTACCACTTACTGTAAATCATTTATAAAATTGTACAGAATAAAGTGAAGTTTCCTTCGATAAACCGATATTATCCGTCTTTATCGAGTTATAATTTACTATATATGGAATTGTATGAAAAATGAATTGGGTAAACTAGAAAAACTTCATTATAACAAAAATTCGTTTTATCGAGTTCCGACTGTGGGTCAAATTATGTTCTTTTCCTAATGTTATTGCAAACTTTAGGGTCAAGTTATATATTAAACTTAATTTTGGTCTGGTCAAATCATATAACAAAACAGGAATTTTTGTTGCTGACCTATCTATGAAGTTTGCAGAGTCCTATCGTGCAATTTTTTTTCGCAACACATTATATCTACCTACACCCCTCTCCCTATAAGCATATTAATTTATAATCGCACATTTACCTGGTGTGCTTATAAAGGAATTGTTGACTGTATATAATCAACTGTTGCGACTCAGATTTGTTTATTGTTGTACAATAAGAAATATTATAAATAGATAATCACGACCTGATATAAAATAGCAAATACATCATTTAAGACCGAACAAATTTTTACTAGTTCTTCTTTGGTCGTTTTCACCACGTGAAATAAGTCCACATCCAATTACGCTTTTATCTATATTTTATAATAAATAAAAGATATTAATTTTATTTTATAAATAAACGTGGTCAAAAAAAAAATAATAATGTTAATATTTGGGATTAAGGAGGCCATTTTCAATTAAATATGGTATATATATATATATAGCGGGCTGAGAATTTAAGTCCCATACTAATATTAAATATATTAATATAAGTTACTACTGTCTGTCAACGGCAATTTTTCCTAAGCCAAATGGCCCGTTATAGATATAGGGTATGATTTTTCTAAAATATAATCCGAACAACCATAATGTTATTTCATTTAAATAAAATACCTTATAAATAAAATTTTCCTGCCAATGCATTCAAGTTTTTTCTTCCATTTTTTATTACATATTAATGAAGGATATATGTATGATATGTAAATAACGGATATATGATATATATATGATATATAAATAAACTTTAAAAGAATATATTTACAATAAAGAATTATAGATGTAAGGTTTTTCTTTTGGTTGAAAATTCTAGGGTTGAATATTACAACCTAATTCAATGTTACACGTATATTTAATGGTGAGTCGTAATTTTGACTTTTTGACATCGTTGGGATTTGTATTAATAAATTCGTGTTTCGCAGAGATAAGTTGCCTGTTTCCCTATATAAAATAATCAATCAATGTATAATATTCTTTATTTCTTATTATTAATAAGTGCATCAAAATCAAAACAATAGAATTATTATTAAAAAAAAATTTTTTTAATATTATTATTATGTAAAATTCTTGTTAGAGCCAAAAAAATCAAATAGGTATCAATTTAGTGTTACTGTTACGACCTTATATGGGAATTAACGGATTACCAGACATTCTAATTCATTTGTTGCACGAAATCACAAAATGTTACACACAAAATGCATATGGGGGGTTTTCTAGCAAAAACCGGGTATAAGTATAATAAAATTTTTAGAGTGATGATCTTTGCAAAATATGTTACACATATGTTTTTGATATATAAAGTGAATATTTCAAGCCTTATATCTTGTTATTGTACTAAGTAAATAGTGTCTAAAATTTTTACCAGTTATAATCCTTGTGGTATAGACATATATTATGCAGAAAACTCAATTTTGGTCTGGAGGCCTTATACACGGTTTTTGCTAGAAAACCCCCCATATATACAACGTGCGTCTTTTAAAGATAATTCCCTACTAATTAAGCCTTTTCTTTTCCTTGTTATGAAGTATTTCATCGTTTAGTCATCTTTTCAACTTTGCAAACAGAACAAAAACCAACAGGCATTTTAGTAATGATTTGTAATCAAGGAATAAAAATTTATTACTTCGAATAGATCAGGGGTGGGTCAGGGAATGTTGAAGTGAAAAAGTATACTTGTAAAATTTGAAAGGTTGTTATTTAGTTGTACTTGCGCCCACCTCATAAGCGTAACCCATCGTTTATTCTGAAAGATTATCAACATATAAAAGGAATGCCCACCGTGCTAATCCCAGGTAGGCTCGTAGAACAATTTGAAATGATTTTGGAAGCTCTCGCAAGCCAATCATAAATTTCCTAAAATTTTCCCATGAAGCAGATCACCATTACTATTACTATATTTAGAAATTCCAATTAGCAAATATCAATAGAGATTTCCATAATCTAATGGGTAATCCTAGCACAAAATTCAAAAATACATACGGGCTGGTGACTTGACATTAAAGTTAATGTCAAAAAATGCTTGGACAATGGCGTTCTATCATTGTCATTCCTAAAATGGATGATTTGTTTCATTAATTTAATTCGTTTTCTTCTTAAAGAAATAATAAATCTGTTGTGAAATGAAAATTTTTAAAATGGAAAGTTCATTTTGAGAATCAATCCATATTTAAATATCCAGATATTGTTATTTTGTTAAGTTTACCTTTTTAATTTTGTAAAAAATAATAAAAAAAAAAATGTCATATAACAATCAATATAACATGGCAGAAAAGCCTTATAATAATAATAATAATAATCCCAATCGACCTTCCACTAGTAATAATAATTTTCCTCCCAAAGGCACCGATCAACAACAACAACATGCACCACCACCATATACTCCACCACCACAACCCACACATGCTTCCAATAATTCATATCCTGCTCCAGCCGCTAATCAAGTATATTCGCCACCACAACAGAATAATTATTATCCACAGCAACAACAACAACAACAATACCAACAACAACCAATGGTTTATCCAACTCAACCTCCAATGGCTTACCCGCCACCAGCAGCAGCACCAACGACTAATTTCGCTCCAACCACTGTCATTAATGTACAGCAAGCGACAAATGGTGTTGCAGGTAATGGTGCTTGTTGGAATTGTGGTAGTACTAGAAGACCTATTATTACTCGGGTTCCGGGTACAACTTCTTGGGTTGCCGGATTTATAATCTGTCTCGTTTTTTGGCCATTGTTTTGGTTACCTTGTGTACTTCCTGGTTGTATGGACGAGTCTGCTGTATGTCCTGATTGTAATAGAAATCGTTAGATTGTTCATGTTTATTGGGTTGATTAGAGGTCATATAAGATTGATTATTGATGAATAATGGTGAATAGAGGGAATTTTTCATTTTTTTATTGCATTTTATATTTATTTTATTATTTATTTATTTATTAAAAAAATTAATTTCATAAGAATTAAGTATTAAGTGAATATTTAATATTTTTTCCAAGAGACATATATATTATAATATTCGTGGACTATATAAATTACTTATAGAAGTATCAATATTTTTATATAAAAAATTATTTATTAATAATAAATTATTCTTTAATTGCAAAGATCGAATCATTGAAATTTGATTTGCAAATAAGATAATGAAGAAATCATCAATTTCTACCCTGAATTACTAATAACTAACAGTTTGGATTTTGGTGCGCAATTATAGCAAGTTTTTTAAAAAAAAATAGAATAGTAAGTGTTGTTTATAATCAACACTGAATTATTTTCAAAAGTCATTTATTTATTTCCAGATGGCCATGTATATTTATAAAAAAAGAAGAAATCTATTTCTTTTAGGTTCAAGCAATTTTTAAAACTTTGTTTAAAAATGATATATACTGTATTTACATACTTTCTGTTTATTTTTTTAAAAAAAAACATATGTATTAAAAAGAAATGGAAAGTGAAGCAAAGCCAAAATTATAAAAATCCTAATCAATTTTCATATTTTTGTCACCCTTTTCTATTCTTTCATTTCATTATCATCATTTCCACTTTGTTTTACATCATTGTTAGCAGAAGGTTTATTTGAACCGGGAATATGACCAGATTGTAACAATTTTTCAAGACGGGCAACTTCTTCCAAAGTTTTGGCATTACGAATGGCCTCATATTTGTTTTATTAACAAATAATCATCATTATTTTTATTTTAAAATGAAAATGAATTCTTTAAATAAGCAGCTCTAACCTTTATCTGAGCTTGTTCTTCTGTTGACATACCAAGTGTGGGCAAATTTGATTTTGGTAGATTAATGTTGGTGGTGGTGGTGGTGGATGAGACTATACCTTCACCAGGTTCAATAATTTTTGAATTTGTTTCTGATATAGATTTTGCAAGTGAGGTTGGTTCACCTTTTGTTGTTTCAAATAATTTTTTGGCTTCTTTACGTTCCTATAACAATAATAATAATAACAAAATAATCATAAAATTATTATCTTTTAAAAAAATCAAAGAAAAGGTTTCATACCATATCACGAACTCTTTTGAAATCTATAACTCTAATACTAGGGATCTTCCAAATCACCCAACTTCGATACCATTGTTTCCTGGTTACTGGGTTATCCAGTAAACTTATATATTGTAATCTTTTAAATCCACTTAATGGTTGCAAATCAGGTAATTCCATTATATTGTTGTTTGTTAAAACTAAAGTAGTAAGGTTGGGTAGAAATTCAAATAGTTGTGGATCCAGTCGATTAATTCGATTATTGATTAATAATAGTGTACAAACACGACATAATAATGGGAAATTACCCAATATGCGAATGTCATTGTCTATTAGATCAATTGCGTCATTTAAGTCCTTTTTTTCAAGAAGATTTATCATAATTAATATTATAAACAATGTATGATTTAGCTCATTTGTGAATGTATTATATATGTATGTAACATCATAATATCATTCATATTTTTTCCTAATCATTAATTACCTTTGACACGCCAAGATTTTCTATAGAAGGAATTTTATTACCTATTAATAAAGTAATTATAAAAAAAAAAAAGGAAAAATAACTTTCGAGTCAGGGAACAATAAAAATAAAAATTTATGTAAAGATGAATGAATTAATTAATATACACATAGGTATTAACAGAAACAAATAGTATAAAAACTAACAGAATAGTTAATCACTGCTCTTTGCTATTAATTATTTGATTGATCATCAAAAATAGCAATCAATTAAAATCATCTAATCAAATCATTGACTGATTTATCAATTATTTGCTAAAAATTATTTCTTGAAACTTCTGCATAATTCATCCATCTAATTTCCAGATTTATTATTTTCCTAAAGGATACCTCGTAGGTTTAATTCGCGATCTTTTACAGTATTGATGTAAGATGGTGAACGTTCAATGAGTTCAGGTGTAAGTTTCATCACATATGCTTTATATTAAACACCATAAATACAAAAAATAAACAACTAACAAATAGCTGTTATATTGATAAGCTGATAATTATAATAAGAAAAAGAATTTATTTTTGTAGATGGTTGAAGAGAGAAAAAAATTTAAAAATAAAAATTGTAAATATGATCGATATTTAATAAACATCATTAATCAATTTCATTCGCACCTTCTCATTGTTTTTGTTAAGGATCTTCTTTACACAAACTGAAATATTTTTTGTCTGGTTAAAATTTTCTTGATTTGAAGATCCTGCTAACTCCATATCTCCTAAAACAAATAAACATACTAAAATGTTCAAGTTTGTATTTTTACATTTTCCTTTTTCCGCTTTACAAGATTGTTTGCATGCATTATCATTCGATATTTTTGTTTTGATTTTTTTTTAAACCCTTTTTACAAAACATTCATCTGCAACGGCCCATTCGCCATATAGCTTCTATCCAATATACTCTTTAAAGGTTTCAATTGTAATGATAATTAATAAAATAAAATAATTGTCCTATTATTAACATATTTTAACAACGATTTATTAAACATTTTGTCAATTAAATGAATGCCATTGATTTAATTGGCAAAACAGAGAAATGGAAAAAGTAGAAAAAAAATACATATTGTTTTTTTTCTTTGAAGTGAATGGTTAATTTATTTTAAAAACGTCAGATTGTTTTTCATTGACCTTGAAGTTTTGAGGATATAAATAAAACTTAAATGTTTGTCATAATAACAAAATAAAACCAATAAAATTCATAAAAAATTTCTATATCGCAACAAGGACAAAAAGCGCATTCTTGAAGATGGAACCCGGCTATCAACTGGACCACTTCAGGAACAAAAAAATAAGGATAAAGTAACAATTCTTTTAACATATAACTCAAGCCATTGAGAGGAATAAAAAAAGACACATTACCAGTAGATTATTGGAATAACACAACTTGGATGCAAATTTCTATATGGAGTCACTAACAAAACATAACATTCATCATCATTATTATTTTTTTATTGCTAAAGTGAGGCCTTGAATCCACGTTTATTTATCTAAAATTTAATGCATCATTAAATATTTACAAATTTTTTACATGTAATTCTACCCCAAATAACCTATTGTTAATTTAAAGCTAGTCTGCCACCTTTAATTAAAACAATTAAATAGCCATATTTAAATAAATCCATCTAAATAATTATACAAAAAGATAGCATGCTAAAGGCAAAAATTTTCCCACTTAGCACCAAAAAATATGAAATTCTATACACTCTTCCCATTTTTAGGATGTATAGCATTCTGAGAATTGGATGAAGTGGCTTGAGAATCTTTTGTTTTGTAATTTTTTTTATTTTTATCTGATATCCCAATTGAGTGTTCCCATTCAATGAATTCCTCACACCTTGCAATTAACGCTTATAGATGACGTATACCATATAAACATAAAATCCGTTATAACGCGACTAGTAATAGTAAATTCGTTATAACGAGGTTTGACTGTTGGCAAAAAATTACTGATGTGTAACGTTACACTACAACAATCAAGATCTGGGCAACGGTAAAATAAAATTTTATTAATCACACTAATTACATCAATACTAATACCAAAGTAAGTAAAGTAAATTGTTATCATTATTGTTATTGTTATTGTTATAAATTCATTATATTAATGATGTTTTTTTCAAAAACAATAAAAAAAAGTGGCAAAAAAAGCAAAGGCAAGGTAATAAAAAGTTACAATAAATTATAATTAATTTTTCTTTCATTCAAATTAATATTTGATTTAGAACAACAATAGTTAAACTTGTATCAACAGCTGGTACTGGTTTTTTTTATACAAGAGTTAGACCACGTCAATTACCAAAACTGTCATTTATTAAATATGATCCAAAAGGTAACCGATCAAATTCTTTTGTAAATTATTTGTTTTTATTAGCTTGACATTAATAATAATTTTTTATGAAAAGTTAATAGGCATGTTTTATTTACTGAGCAAAAAATAAGAACTGGCTAATTTGATCATTGGTTGATAAAATTTATGAAGTTTATAAAGTGATAATGATTTGAATTGGTAAGTAGGTGATTTGGCTAATCGTTAATTAATGGATTGTGCAAGAATTTTTATAAAAACCAAATATTTCACTAAAGCATCTACTAAAAAAATCACAGAAATTCTATTTTTATCTTTAATTCCAAATTTTTTACAAATAAATATATAAAAACAAAATTTTTTAAAAAAATTATATATCTATTAATATTACTATTGTTATTAAGTAAATAATCTCGGTGAAATGTTCATTGCCATTAATTCTTGAAATAGTAATTTACAAGCATATGGAATATGTATTTGAGATATCTAAAACAAAATTACACAAGTAGATCAACAGGTGAAAGGAGTGAGTGAGTAATGAATATAATATAAGTGACAATGATTAATGGTGGTAAAACATACCTGCGTAGTGTTTTTACATGATTTACATTGGAATGTATTTTTTTTAAGATTTGCAATTGCCATTAATCCACAGATATCACAAGCATGGATACGATAAGCATCCGATGCATCGAATAGACGTTCCTTTATTATAATTATAATAATTATTTAACTACATATAAATATTATTATTACTACAATAATAATATAATAATAATAGATAACTACCTTCAAGAACATAGCTGTACCATGAGATATCATACAATCACGTTCCATTTCACCAAAACGTAAACCTCCGTCACGACTACGTCCTTCTACAGGTTGTCTTGTAAGAATTTGTACAGGCCCCCTTGCTCTTGAACTAAAAAAAAATCAAATTAAAAAAGGTCAATGCAAATTTATCTCACTTTTTTACTTACTGAATCTTATCATCCACCATATGTTTTAGCCGTTGATAATATGTTGGACCTATGAATATTTGTGCTGCCAATTTACGACCTGTATGAGCATTATACATGACTTCAAATCCACGACCTTGATATCCATGACTCCTTAAACTTTGTGATATGGCTTCAACTGTTACATCAGTAAATGGTGTTGCATCACCTTCTTGTCCGATAAGTGTTGAAACCTACATACATATATTATTATATATATATATACACACACACACACATACACACACTCCTAAAATAATGGATACTTCTTTCTTTATTCATACCTTGCCCAACAAACATTCAACTAAATGCCCGATTGTCATACGACTAGGAATGGCATGTGGGTTTATAATAATATCAGGTGTAATACCTTCAGCTGTAAATGGCATATCTTCTTGTCGATATGTTATACCAATCGTACCCTTCTGACCATGTCTACTAGCAAATTTATCTATTCAAATTTAACTGATGTAAATATATGCATATATTTCCTCAGCCAAAAAAATACCAAAAGAATATATACTACCTCCCATTTGTGGCACCCTAGTACTCCTTACTCTTACTTTAACAAATTTTAATCCTTCAGCATTTGTTGTGACCATAACCTGATCAACAATACCAGTTTCAGTGCTTCTCATAGGTGTAGAAGCATCTCGTTGGATATGTCTAGCTGTTCTTTGTCCTAATTCAATTACATCTGATGCAATTGGTGTAACTTTGCCAATAATTATATCATCACCAGACACTCTAGTTCCAGGTGCAATCAATCCATCATCTTCTAATTTCTCATATGTTCCATGTTTCAATCTAAGGGTAGTTTCTTTTGTGGGTTTTTGAAACTCTTCTAATGATATTATTCCCTATAATTTTAGAGAAAAAATAAATTCAATATCGTAACAATTATAATCATAATCATCTCTGAATAAAATAAAATAAAGTGTTTTAAGAAGGTACATATGCACTAACCACTTTCTTTTCTTGATCCATATAACTTCTATAAAAAATACTTCTAAACAATCCTCTGTCAATACTACTTTGATTCATAATGATTGAATCTTCTTGATTGTATCCACTATAACAAAGGATTGCAACCATGGCATTTTGTCCAGCTGGCAATTCACGGAATCTTAAGAATTCCATGGATCTAGTCGTTACCAAAGGCTTTTGTGGATAATATAAAATATTTGCCAAAGTATCCATTCTCAATTGATAATTTGTCACGTATATACCCATAGCTTGTTTACCCATAGCAGATTGATAGGTGTTACGTGGTGACTATTTCCAACACAAAAAAAATTAATAATTATTATTACTATTAATATATTTGCGATATAAGTATTAAAAAAAACTTACTTGATTATGATCAGGAAATGGAATAAGACTTGCACAAATTCCTAATATCATACTAGGATGAATTTCACAATGAGTCCATGTGTGTATCGATTGATGTGACTTGCTCTTGACACGAGCTGAAACATCATTTGTCATAGCATTAGCAGCGGCAGCAGTTTCAGATTCTTCAAAAACCATATTAGCTTTCCTTGAATCTGCTATATCATCAGGTGTCATGCAAATCATAATTGTTTCTTCTTCTTCTGCATCAATATATTCTATCAATCGATTGGATATTAAATCTTGCCATGTATAAGTGACATTCCTTTTCTTTCTTTTCCTTGATCCTGATAACTCTTCATAAACATCTTGCTCCTCATCATCCACATCATCCACATCATCTTCATCTTCTATGTCCTCTTCCGCCTCCTCCTCCTCCTCCTCCTCCTCCTCTTCTTCTATTATTTCATCTTTCTTATGTTTTTTGTTTTTATTTTTCTAATTATTTACATGCATAAATTAAATATAAATGATTTCAAAAAAGATTTTTGATAAATACGACGTAAACTAGCCCTTACCATTTTGTATACATCTAATCGTTGTATATGAGCTTTGGTTATATTTAAACATTCATTTTCCACTATAAATAAAGGACGACAAACTCTTCCAGCATCAGTATAAATTCTCAACTCATTTTCACGTATATCTCTTACAACACTAACTTCAGGATTTACATCAACAGTACGTCTCAAATTTTTCAAAGTGTTGGCTAAAGTTTCAGGCGAAGAAGACACGCCAGCCCATTTACCATTAACAAAAATTTTTGTATTGTCTTTAATGTTTGAAGGATCAAATTGTTGATTCAGATTGATCATTCCATATTCCTCCAAGAAGTCGATTATTGGTTTTGAAGAGCTTCCAACAGATATGTAGGACATTAGAGAAAGGTTTTTAACAAGACCACAAGCTTGACCTTCAGGTGTCTCAGCAGGGCATACCATACCCCAATGAGTATTGTGTAATTGACGGGGCTTTGCTATTTTCCCATCTCTTCCCATCGGTGTATTGCATCTTCTTAAATGTGATAATGTGGATGCAAAAGTGTATCTATTAAGCACCTGTGATACACCTGCTCGAGACTGTGTTAAAAGAATTTTCTTTTTGTGAGTTGATGAATTTCAGAGATGTTTTTTAAAAAAATTTTACAATAAATATTCTACCTGCATAGCTTTCTTTTGATCACCCCAATTACCTGTAGCAAGAGAATACTTTAAACCATTTGTGATTGTTTGTGCCTTAATGGCCAGATTTAAATTGAATTCCCGATTTGAATCTATACACTAAACAACAAAAACGAACAATAATATTTAATTATATATATTTTAATTTTTAAAAAGAATATAAATAGTAGTAATAACCTTTCTAAGATATAAAGAAACATCTTTTGTAAGTTTTTTGAACAGCATTCTGAATAAAGAAGCCAAAAGAGGGCCAGCAAGATCCATTCTTTTTTTACCATAATGATCACGATCATCCAATTCACGTCTTCCAAGAGCAGCAAGTAAAAGTCTATGAACCATGTAACCAAGAAAGAAAGCTTTCCTTTTCTCACATCCATAATCTGTGGATACATGCGGCAACAATTCTTTTTGAAGTATCTCTTTAGCATATCTGAAATTTAGGTGGTAACAATGATGTTTAATATTGTTGTTATAAAATAGGATAATAATATACATAAAAATATACTATACTTTATACGTTTATCTCTTGACAAATTGCCAGCTGTTCCTCGACGACCAATCCAATCAGCTGCAACCTAAATAACAAATTTACATTTATTATTCAAAATATATAAACCAAATAAATTAAATGCAATAATGAAAATCCTAAAGTTACTGACTACTTACATCTGAATTTTGGACTGTGAAAGATTCTTCTATACAAGGTTTTAAAGCTTCCAACATCTCATTGTCATTAAAATCATAACAAACAAATGATAAAAAATCTTGATCTGAAACAGCACCAAGGGCACGAAAAGCAATCACTATTGGCACATCTTTTTTAATGTATGGCATTGTGGCATGTATAAATTGTCCTGTTGCCTTTTTTTAACCATTTATAGTAATATTATTTTAATTCTATTAGGAAAGGTTAATGAATTCTTGAGAAAATTAAAATATATCCACTTACTCCTTTTTCGGCAGTTTTTGCTAAAAGTTTTATCACCAAAGAACTTGCCAATTTTGAACCCTTTTCCATAGCACTTCTTATTTCAGCTGTGAAAGAATAAGGTGAAGGTGGTGCTTTTGAAAATACATAGACGGTATTTGTAGCCATTCTTTCTTGTGCAATTAATACCTTCTCCGAGCCATTAATTATAAAATATCCACCCTGTGTATTTTATTTTATTTGATTGAAAAAAATGAAATTACTTATTTTATTATTAATTATATAAATTTATAAAAATCTATCTTGGTGTTAATTTACCTGATCATAAGGACACTCATTCAATGCATAAAGACTTTTATCCTTTAAACCATGTAATACACAAAATGTTGATTTCAACATTACTGGAATCTAAATGATTTATTGAATTCATGATTAGTAAAAATAAATTTGAGAGTAACTATAATTTATAATTTAGTTAATTGATTAAATTGTTACCTTTCCAATAAAAACCTTATCATAAGAATTTTCATCTAAATCAGTTCTCAAATCACTTTCATTAAACATTTCATTTAATGATGTCTTACCAGCATTCTTGGGATCTTTTGGATCAGCATAGATTATTTCTTCTTTCATATTAACATAAATGGGTGCAGCATACCTAAGTTTATTAATTATTGAAATTTTTTGAAGACAAGATCAAAAAAGTTGAAATTAAACATTTGATAATTTATTAATATGTTTATCATATGCAATAAATATTTGTGATGACTGCATACGTTAAATTTCTTAAACGAGCTTCTTGTGGAAACATTGCTTGAACACTACCATCAGCTTCAGTCATTGTAGGTCTTGAAAGATATACTTGACCAAATCTTATATAAAAGCGTCTCTTTATTCATAAATCATAAAATAATATATAATATTATTATCATCCTCCTCAATATTTGATCATCCATAATAAATTATTAGCAATTAAACTAACATACAGCTTTATCTCCTTCAGAGCTATTTCCTGAAACAGTTTGTAAAACAAGATTTTTATTCTCATCAACTATTTCTTGCATAGTATTTTGTACAAATTCATCAAATGAATCTAATTGTTGTCTCACAAGTCCTTTATCATGAAAAAACGATGAAATCACAGTCCAACAGTCTTCTTGTGAGATGTTGTGTAAATCAGTATCCTGATACATTTTTGATTTTTTTTGATAGGAAATATTTTTTAAATGACTATTTATACTCTTCCCTTAACTAAAAAATAATTTTTTTTTAAATTGATATAAAACTTAATGTAATGAGTGAGGAAATCTAAAGTTTAAATAATAAACTGGGGATTTCAAATCTATGTAAATTTATTATCACAACAAGTAAATTTTTGGTCACAAAAATTTTTGCCCGATGTGATAATTTCGAATTTGACAAAATATATATTCTACCAAGAGAAATAAATATGACAGCTCCAACAACTAGTTTACTTCAAGGTAAAAAGCCTCCATTGATATGAAATCCTTCAATAAATTTAATAAATACAGATAAGTTACCTGAAGATATTAAAAATCGAGTTAATTGAGATATTATCAAGCTGAACATGAGAAATTGGAAGCAAAGTTACAGTCAACCCCCCTAAATGCACCCCCTTTGGGAATGAGTGGGAGCGTGCATTTAGGGAATTAAAGCATTTTATTGGCTGCACATATTGGTGACTCATGTGACACTAATTAAAATTTAAAAAAATTCAAAACATGAATCTATCTATTGTAATTTGTTCCATTGTATTTATTTTTTTTAAGTTAATATATTTTTCAAGAGAATTAACTGATTTTGCTTGTTCATTGTATGGACAATTTCCAAACTTGTTAACTATGGTAGAAATAGGTTGATAAGAATGTTAGTTAAAATGGTTTTTGAAAAAATCAATTTTGGTAAGTAATTTTGGATTTACAATATTCTTTGTATCAATAGACATAAAAATCTACCCAGCCTTTTAACATTTAATTAAAGAGTCCAAATAATTTCAGATACAATTTTGGCAACTAATAAAATTAACTTTAGCATTTATGAAAAACTATTTCACCATTATTAAGAGAGCCAACTTCAGCTAACATGCTTACACTTGACTCAATTGAGCGACTTTTTGATGCAATTAATTGAGTCATATGAAAAACATATAAATAATTGAGTCAAGACACAATTAAAAATTGCAAAGCCAAATTAAATTTTGACAACATGTAATTGTAAAAATTTTCTAAGGTTACACGATTAACATTGCATAAAATCACGTGAAAGTCACCGGTGTGCATTTAGGGATGGTGGTTTTATATAGTTGGGAATGAAAAAAGACCATGCAGTGCAGATATAGAGGGGTGCACTTATCTCTTAAGTCCCAAGCTTGGGAATGAGTGAAAGTGTGCATTTAGAGAGGGTGTGCATTTAGGGGGGTTGACTGTATATTAGATTTGGAAAAAGAATATTTGAAAGAATATATGCTGTTATATGAAATATGTGAAACAATTGTTCAAGGCAAAAATGAGCCACCTCAAGATTTTGCTGAAGAAGGTGCTAGAATAAATGAAGGAAAAAAACCTATTGGATGAGGAAGAAGAAACAAAAATAGTTATAGTAGAGAAAAAGAAAATAGTGGAAGAAGGTTAAAGGAATCCCTGGGTTTTGGCTCACAGCTATGAAACAATTGGTTTCTGTTGCAGATATGATTACTGAAAATGATGAAGCAGCATTAAAATATCTGATTGATATTAAAATGATGTATCTTGAAAAACCAGGATTTGAACTTATGTTTGAATTTGAAGAGAATCTGTTCTTCACCAATAAAATATTGAAAAAAACATATTTTTATCAAGAAAATCCAGGTTGTGGTGGTGATTTTGTTTATTATCATGCTGAAGGTACACAAATCAATTGGAATGATGGCAAAAATCTTACAAAAACAGTAGAGAGAAAAGTTAAAAAACATAAAGGTAATGAATGAGTGATAAAGATATTTTATTTTTTGGAAGTTTGAGGAAATCAAGATTCATTAAATTTACTTTATTCCTAGATACTAATCAAATTCATGAAAAAAATGTAACAATAGATACAGAATCATTCTTTTGCTTCTTTAGCCCACCAATTGAAGAAGAAGAAGATGAAAAATTGGATGAACAACTGGAAATAGATTATCAAATTGGTGAAGATATATAAAAAAAAGCTGATTCCATGAGGTATTGATTGGTATACCGGAAGAGCCTTAAAATTTGATGATATTTGATTATACTAATTTAATTTATGAGGAGGATATTGATGAGCTGATTGATTGATGATGATGATGATGATGATGATGATGATGATGATGAAGGAGATGATGATGATGAAGGAACAGATAAATGATAAGAACAATCAATTCATCAAAATAAAATCAATAATCATCCATTCACTTCTTAAATTGATTTTTTCTTTGATAGCATTGATTAAAGTTAATCTTCTTTGAGGAAAGGTTTTTTTTAATATTTAATTGAATTTGTAATATTTTACATATTTTTTCTTAATTTTAACAGAATTAATTAATTAGTAAAGAACCAATCACTCTTAATATTTATATCACATATACAAATTATTATTTAATCTTATATTATTATGCATTCATTGCAGTCAGGATTATTACCAAATTTGAAAATCGAATCTAGAAAAATTGGAATTCCTTTGCTGATCAATTTATATGTGTGGCAAACAAGTTAACATGATACTTTGCTGCCTTTTGAAAATCTTTTTTTTAAAAAAAATAACAATAATAATCAAAATAAACAGTATTAATATAAAACCAGAAAATCTTAATATTATAAGAAGCTCTTCTTTTTCATGTCCAGAAATTAGAATAGAAGTCTGTTCAAAAGGAGCTAAGGAAAAGATTATTGGTGGTACAGTGCAGATCATCTATACACAAAAGTTAAAATTTTTGAAATATTATGTGATCCACACATTGGATTTTAAAAAACTTACCACCATTCAATTCAGCTT